TTCTCGTGTGCAAACTGTAGAAGATTTCACTTCCGTTTGGTAAAGGTACCAATTTCTTCACACCTTTTCATTCAAAGCTTTGACCGATCTAATCAATGCCTGAGAGAAAATCTAAAGGGAGAATACTTCAGACTAAGGAGTCCTAAACTGGTTTTGTTATCTCAAGGTAGTTCTAATTTACTTTGATAAAATTTAGGAAACTTGTCCTATATAAATTCTAGAAAAAGTGAAACAAATATGAACACAGACAGGTGTGCACAAATGCATTAAGCGTTCTTACTTGGAAATATTTCAGGTAGCTTTTCATCCTATGCTTTACTCTGGCCCTTTTGCTTACCTCTATCATAGCTATTTGTCCTATTAAATTGTATATGTTCAAAAATCTCTCTCCTTATAGGCAAAAATTATTTCCTTTACCTCTTTTACATCTATCATGGTGCTGGGCATAAAGTAATAATTCAAAGTAATAATTTGAATTAATTGACAAAAGGAAATATAAATGTTTACAAAATAGAGTGCTGTAATCCCAAAAAGGCTAGAAATCTGCTCATCTACACAATGTCATTAAATTTTTTAGGCTTCTAGAAAATGTTTTACTAGCTTTGAAAATTTAAAAGGTACCATAAACTTTCCTTTCTTCCTGTCAACTTCAAGTGATTTCTTCTACACAGATATCAAAATATATCACATTTTATTTTTCATGAAGAAAATATTTACTGAACACCTACTTTGTGCTCGATATGTTGCTTAGTGGAAAGGTTATGCTAACGAGTTCAGACATGATACCCCCAAAGATCTAAAACATATAGCATTTGAAGCAACTGTGCATTTCTGAGGTGATTCTTTTTTATTTTCAAATAAGAAAATACAGAGAACAGTAAATAATGTAACAAACAGTTGTATATCCACCTATGTTTATATGTCTGATTTTCCTATTAGACTGTTAGTTCTTTGAGGTCACTGATGCTTTGTCTTGCATCTTGTGTGCTTAACACAGAACTTGGCACATATGGGGCAATAAATGTTTGTTGAAAAAATGATTCTGCAAAAAATATGGCACAGCTTGAAGGTTTAGTTTTACTTAATATCATGTCCTTTTTCTTATATTTCCTTCAAAGCCTCTAAAATAATCATGGAACTAAACTCTTCTGTTACAATGTGACATTCCCAATTACCTTCTATGGATACTCACTTTTTTATTTCACTCAAAAAATATTCTTTGACTACTCTACTCAAACTGCTTCTTTGCACTTGGTTGTCTGGCTCTACAGGGTCTGTTGGTCCTTGTATTGTCTCATTATATTGCGCTGAAGGGAAGTACTGCAGAAGGGAATGTGTGTTAAGTAAGGGCTCTCTAGATTACTTTCCCCCATCAACAGAGATTTAACAAAGTTAAGGTTAAAGCAGAAGGAAGACAAGACCTTTTAAATTCACTTTTCTAGAACTAACTTCAGCTCCTGCTAAAGAAATCATTTGACCTTCTTAAACACATTACCATTAGGAAGGAAGAAAAAAAGAAAGGGAAGGGAGGGAGGAAAACAAGACTGACACCACATGTAGAAATTAGCTACATTTTCTACTGTATGGAAAACAGTCTCCAAATTAACCTGCTGCTGGCATCACCAAGCAGGCAGGAGTTTAACACTGAGGCATGGACCTAAAAATGAACAAATGGCACTAATTTGCTAAACCTCAAGAAAAACCTAGTCATTAATTTTCTGTTTATGGTGAATTGTAAATGAATAGTAAAAAAATACCGACTAAAACAGTTAAAACCAAAACCAAACATCTGGATTTTCTGTAATGGTTGAGCTATAAAATAGGTAATGATTTTTAAAAGCGAAATGCCCAGGGTTTGAGAAGATATAAACGTGCACTATGCTTCTGAAAGTCAATTTGGCAATGCATGTCAATAAACCTTAAAGTTTTGAAAAACCCTTTGACCTACCAATTCTAGGAATTTATCTACAAAGATTTTTACAACATTGTATTACTATTTGAAATAGCAAAGAATTGCAAATAATGTAAATGCTTATATATAGGGGATTTGTTAAAGGATGATAAATCCTTAAGGAGAGTGCCTTACGAAGAGAGTAACATGCTTCATAAGAATTTACCATCCTTTAACTATAAAAGAAGAAAGCAGTTGTCAAAATTTTTTTTGGTTGCAGAACTTTTTAGCCACGATATAAAATCCAGTTATAACCTAAATTTAACAGCAACAATCAAATGTGCTCTTTTTAAGTGAGGCTGGGGAACATGGAAGCCCTGCCCACTCATCCACCGGGGCTACTCCTAGGAACTTTAGGGCTTCAAGGAACACATTTTGAAAACCACTACTCTATCAGAACATTTGTTGTGAAAAGAAATCAAGATTTTAAATGACTCAAATTTTGTAAAAAAATGTATACGTATTTATATTTACATATTATACAATGGAGAATGGTTAGAAAGATATACATAAAAATGCAACTACCGCTTATCTTTGAGTGGTAGATAATTTGTATTTGTGTATTGCTTGTATGCTCTTTTCCCCATGGATTTTCTATAATTAGCATGTATTATTTTTGTAAAAAGAAAAAATAACATTATTTTTAAAGTTAAATTTTAAAATTGGATTTTTTTCTGTGTAATATGTTTTCCATATCCCTTTATTTCAACTGGCATTTTAAAGCATTAACAAATCTTTAAGTATATGCTGAACTGGAAAAGATCTTTTTCATTTGACAATCAAGGAGATATTAAAACCCAGGTAAATGGACTCTGCACTCTTATTATAGATTTTCTTCCTTTTTATTTTATCGATTTACTTTTTGGTAGGCTGTAGGTATCTCACTAAAAATACTTAATGCTGATTTCTGCATCTTTTCACATGCTGTCCAATTTCTGGGAAATGTTCATCCCCTAGTCTTCAAATGGCTGAATCATACTGTCTTCAGATCTCAGGAAATATTTTCAGAGGTATGTGACTGTACTGAATATTCTCAATCATTCTACTGTTTCTCTCCTAGCATTTATACAATTTAAATTATATATTTGTTCACTTATTTATTACCTGTTTCACCAACAAAAACTGGAATTTCATGAAGGCAAGACACCTAGTATTGTCAATATATTACACAACACCTAGCCTAACACCTAGCAATTATCCATAAACATTTGTTGATGGACTGAATGATTGACTAAATGTTTGCTAAAATTTGAATCTAGGGACTCAAGTGGCTTAAAATCGCTTTTCCCACACTCTTGCCTAGATGGATGGCAAGATGCTGTTTTCAATACTGTCTAAATTTCTGATACTATATAATAAGCCCAAGTCACATTAATGGGATACATTTTATAATGGCTATATCATCTGATCCACAACTCAAAAGAGGCACTAGGTCTGCCGAGATGTCTGCTGCAGGACTACTGATCCTCTCTGACATACCTTTTGGAGAATAAACATTCTATAACACAGAATGTGTATTTGCCACTTCAACATTTTCTAAAGCTTCTTCCAGCCTCACTCAGGAGGGCTAATCTCAATTTACTGATATTTATTACATGCCATCCCATACATACTAGTATACTGACGTGCAGCCACTGAATTATAAACCCTTTTTATCAGGAATCTGAACAGTGTGAGCTATTTTTGGCACAATTTAAATAACAGGGACTCTAACAATGGCAAACCAACAGCCTCAGAAGAGCTCTTGCAACTAAATGGAAAATTTAAAAACACCAAAACAAACAGTGTAAGAAAAATAACCATAGAAGGTACCAAATAAGCATAGAGACATAACATTTTAAATACTTCCAAATATTTGGTTTCGGAGCATGTGGGCTTTCCACACTTTTTTCTGCCAAATGCTAGGAAAAACTGACCATACTATGATCATCTAAAATAGCTGTTAGGACTGATCTTCAAATATTTGGTTTCAAAATATAGACCTATTTGCACTTTAAAACTCAGATGCCTGCACACTACCACTATAACACTGCACTGAGATAATACTTTCAAAGAACGTTGCTGGCAAAAAGATATCTTTATCCATGGTAAGAACTGCTTCAAATGGACACAGCAAAATGTTAACCTAAGTCCTAAAGTAATTGTCAGAAAAGATCATTTGCTCTGGCACCAAAATGCTTTTTTTTCTTTTCTTTCTTCTTTTTTAAAGACAGAGGTTTAATTTCACCAGTTATTTAGGGTTAAGGAGAGAGGGTAAATGCGAAATGTTAAGATTCTAGAAGCAAGGAAAAAAACGTTTATATCCGCTTCACTTGAAATTGTTGACTTCCTTAAACTAAGTTTCTTATTTAACATATTGTTCTTGTGGGTACTCAAATATAAACTATCAAATCTGCCTCACTTTGGGTTGCTGGACAGTCCAAACCACAGAAAAGGATCTTAGTCTAGAAATAAGTCAAGTGGTTTAAAACAACCGTTCCCATACTCTCGTGTAGTTATGCTTGCTTCCTAGGACTGTACAAGCATGGATATCTAGTTGTAGTCCTCCACTTCTGATTGTTATCTAACACTATAAAGTAACACTCTAGGAGACTGGAATGATATGTGATACAGCCTCTTTTACTCTTCTGAGCAGACATTAATTCTGATTGATCAATTTCAACTGGCTTGATTTGTCTTAACTTTTAAAACTGCAGCCAGTGAAAATGCCTATACCTTTTTAAACATTATTTTGTTTTCCTTAAAATCTTATAATTCAAACCTTGTTCCTGAAAGAGGCACTCTTAAAAAAAAAAGACACATGATAGTACAACTCAGAAAAGGAACTATATTTGGCTTCTTAAAAACAGTGGTCCATCTTCACCCTTATTCTTCTGATAAGTGGAAAGAGTAAGACTTATAATGGCTAAGAAATTAATCCTGAGTCATACAACTGGGGAACTCAAAATTTTTTCCATTTCCCAACTTAGCATTCTTCCCTTTAAGGCAGCTCTAAGGGTGCCCCAAACGCATTAAATCCCACAGTAAATAAAACCCTTCTTAACCTTACCTCTTTATGCACCTTCCAACTGTCTACCGTCACATTGAAGAGAGCTTTGAGGGCCTCAATGGCACAGTCTGTCTCCTGAGGTGAGAGAGGAGGTCCATTATGGTCTATGGCCGATTCATACTCATCGGTCCACTTGATGCTAAAGGCACTTTCCAAAATCTGGGTTAGCAGCGGTAGTCCCTGGAGCTCATAACGCAATTGTGACCTGATGTCAGTGTGCAAAAGTGACAGGACGAAGAGCAAGCGCAAGTCAAAGCACTTAATGTCATTGATAAACTTTCGGTCCTTGCACTTTCTCAGGAGGTTACAGAGCTTTGCAGCAAGGTTAAGTTCCAGGCTGAGCTGCTGTGCCATCTGACTATTGAACACGATGTTACACAGACATTTTAATGACTCCACAATAACTGGGAACTCTGACACCTTCTCCAAAGAATCATCCAACTCATTCAGCTTCGCTAGTCGCAGCAGTATCTGCATATTTTCCTTGGTTGTTACAGGAACTAAAATCTTTTTGTCTCTGGAGAGAATGCGGAGAACTTCCAGGCAGGACACTTGACATGTTGTTGGGACGTCCTTTACAAGGACTTTAAATATCCCTTCGCAGAGTTTCTGGAAAACAAGATCGAGAATGCAAAAAATCATTATTTGGCTTAAAACAGACTGTTTCTCTACCAATGTATTTAATAGCAGTTTAAGATCTAGCTAGACAGGCTTTTATTATTTTTAAATTAAAAAATGTTAGAACTGAAAGAGACCTTATATTTGGTACACTTCTTTCACTTTACAGATATAGAAATTGAGGACTAGAGAAGTTAAGTTGCTTATACTCAGCCAGAGTGAATTAGTGGGGTAGTAAGAGCTAGAGTATGGATTTCCAACTTCCAGCCAATATTCTTTCTATAAAATCACTTATTCTCTTTTAAGTTGACTAGTTTTAAATTTCTCAAATAGCTTTGTTCTCAATGGAGTTTTAATTCAGACTACACATAGGTAATATCAGCATCTAAGGCAATCAGTCTGAATCATAGCTGTTCCCTTCCCAAAAGTAAAGATTAATGTCTCGAGATTTGGTTCACAACTGCTCACAAGTACAGGTTCTCATAAAAGACTTTAAAAAATACGCATTTCTGCCAAATGTTAGCTGTGATATTTCTTCTAAATTTAGAGTTCTATGTCAGTAGTCCCATGTTTTATAAACCTTAGGACTTTCTTTAGCTAACATGTAATAACATTTAATCATTGAGTGACACCACAAAGAAGATCTTCTACAGGCAAAACTACTAAAATTATTCTAAGTTTGGTTCCAAAGAGGTCTTGGCTAATATATATGATGCCTTTGAGCCAAACACAAAAAGGCACCTCTCTCTGGGCCAAATAACTGCAAAAGCGTGTCCCTACTGGATGGACAAACTTTTCAAAAAGCCCTCTTCCTCTGGTAGCCCTGTGCCAGCACAATAGCTTGGGAAGCTCAGAGTGTGGGAAGATCTTAGTTCTCCTTTGTTCTCTCAGTGCAGAGTGCAGATTACACACATATATGTAGTAGTCCTGGTTTCAAACCTTGCCACTATGTTAAAAACAATTCTTTTAAGATGAACCCAGAATATACCCTCTCTTGAATTTTTAAAAGAATCGTTATTTCTATCATTGGCAAATATAAGAACCACTGATCATTCTCTCAAAATTCAATATCCAGCTTTCTTCTCCATAAAGTGCAGTTCTGGGTCTCACAGGTATAACCACTTCTTCCCTATTTCTGTACCCGTTATATACACACATATATTTTGTTAATCCTCACCCAAGGATATTTTTCCATTGGCTTTTAGAGAGAGTGGAAGGGAGGGAGACACACAGAGAGAAACATCAATGTGAGAGAGACACATTGATTGGTTGCCTCCTGCAAGCCCCGAGTGGTGTGCAGAAAGAGCCTGTAACCCAGGTACATGCCCTTGACTGGAATCAAACCCATAACCCTCCAGTCTGCAGGCTGACTCTCTATCCACTGAGCCAAACCAGCTGGAGCAGTACCCACTGCATTTTATAAAAAGAACAGCAATAACAACTATGACCAATTTAAGATTTTACAAAGTTTTTATTAACCTATCATCAGACTTTAACTCTTTAAATAAAAAGGGCTCTATACAGGCCAAGCATTGTGATTTTGGCAGGAATCCCAGGCTATGTGCACCTTCTCAGTAGATCCTAGTCATACAGCTCAGCTATGGAAATGAAGCCATTTCCCCTGCTGCTCCTTCAGCATGGCATGCCCTGCCACCATGTCTGCCAGTCAGTACTCCATTCTTTCTCTAAGGCTTAGTTCGAGGTCTACAAGCCTCCCCCGCCATTTCCTCCTCTGCTTTCTGTTTGTGCCTGCAACAGCACTTAGTTTTTTTGCCTTTTTTTAGAATGAGCTGTTGAGGCTTCTTACTCCTTCTCCAGACCCCTTGAGAACAGAGGCTCTGTTTCGTCGTATCCCAGTGGCTAGTCCAGGTGTGCTAAAACTATTTTTAAGTGCAAGAAAACCACAAACTCCCAAAGTTACCTGCCTTGAAGTCTACCACCTGACTCTCCAGCACTTTCCAAAGAATGACTCCTTTGTATTCCTCCTTCACCAGCCACCACTCACTATCAAATCTTCCTTTCTTTGCAAGTACAGCATATCATCATATTTTAGGTAAAAATATTTTTATTTACTTTCAAAGTATTCGTTTCTGAATTTGTTTTCATTGTTCAACTGATATATTTTTTAATCTAAAAATTACTTTGGTATTGCAGATAATCATGAAACATATACTTTGTCCCATTAAAATCAATAAAAATATTTTGATATTAATAAATTTTCACTTAGAGGTCAGGTTTTCAGGAATTAAGTCATAAATCAAAGGTTAGGTGTGTTTACAAAGTATAATTAATAAAAAATCAAAGAGACTGAGAAAAGGCCCTTTAAATATGCTCATTAACTTAGTAAGCCATGGCTATTTCTATAAAGTTAGAGTGCAAGACTGAGCAGCCTAGACTCAAGAGTAAGGTACCAAATTGTTGGTGGACAACTATCAGTTTTCATCACAATGCCTAATAATTAAACCAAGTCTTAGATAAATATATTTATGAGGCTTTATATTATTTTCTCATTACTCTGAAATCTGAGTTAGTTTTACTACTTTGGTGATATAGTTGAAGAAAACTTATCCTATCTAATAAAAGAGAAACATGGTAATTGGCGTACGACCGCTACCCTTCCCATTGGCTAATCAGGGCAATATGTAAATTAACTGCCAGCCAAGATGGCAGCCGGCAACCAGGCAGCTTGAAAATAGCATGAGGCTTACTTGCTTCAGTGACAGAGGACTCCAACATTCCCCGCCTGCTGCTGCAGGCCTCTGAGCTGCAACTCTAAGCAACTATGTAACAAATATAGAAGCTAAACAAAACCCCAGAAACCTGCTTTAGTCCCGGGCTTCAGCCAGCAGAATCGCAACACTGTAAGCAAAGGCCAGAAACCTATTTTCAGCAGTGGAGGCCTAAGACCTGGAGCCAAGCCTCAGAGCTAAAGCTGGCCCAGAATAAAAAAAAGAAAAAAGAAAAAAAGGAGCGGTTGGGAGCTTCAGTCACCCCCAGCCTGAAAATAGCCCTCAGCCCCTCACCCAGACTGGCCAGGCACCCCAGTGGGGACCCCCACCCTGAAGGGTGTGTGACCAGCTGCAAACAGCCATCATCCCTTCACCCAGGATGGCCAGGCACCCCAGTGGGGACCCCCACCCTGAAGGATGTGTGACCAGCTACAAACAGCCATCATCCTCTCACCCAGGCTGGCCAGGCACCCCAGTGGGGACCCCCACCCTGATCCAGGACACCCTTCAGGGAAAAACAGCTGGCACCCACCCGTGCACCAGGCCTCTACCCTATATAGTAAAAGGGTAATATGCCTCCCAGCACCGGGATCAGCAGAGCTGCGAGGCCTCCCGGCACCAGGATCAGCGTGACAGGGGGCAGCGCCCAAACCCCCTGATCGCCCTGCGGCTCTGTGTGTGACAGGGGGCGAGGCCACAACCTCCCTATCCACCCTGCCCTGTGCCTGATAGGGGGGAGCTCCCCAACCCCCTGATCGCCCTGCGGCTCTGTGTGTGACAGGGTGCGGCGCCGCAACCCACCCCCCCCCACACGGGCCCTGCTCTGTGTGTGACGGGGTACAGCCATAACCTCCCCATCGGCCCTGCCCTGAGTGTGAGAGTGGTGGTGCCCCAACCCCCTGATCGGCCGTGCTCTGTGGGTGATAGAGGGCGGCGCCCCAACCCTCCCCCACTCGGGCCCTGCTCTGTGTGTGATGGGGTAGAGCCATAACCTCCCCATCGGCCCTGCCCTGAGTGTGACAGTGGCAGCGCCCCAACCCCCTGATCGGCCCTGCTCTGTGTGTGACAGGGGGTGGTGCCCCAACTCCCCTATGGGCCCTACTCTGTGAGTGACAGGGGGGAGCTCCCCAACCCCCTGATTGACCCTGCTCTGTGCGTGACAGGGTTCGGAGCCCCAACCCCCCTGATGGGCCCTGCTCTGTGCGTGACGGGGGCAGTGCCCCAACCCCCTTGGCCCTGCTCTGTGTGACAGGGGGTGGCGCCACAACCTCCCCATTGACCCTGCCTTGAGTGTGACAGGGGCGGTGCCCCAACCCCCCAATCGGCCCTACCCTGAGCATGACTGAGGGTGGCATCACAACCTCCCGATCCGCCCTGCTCTGTGCATGACAGGGGGCGGCACCCCAACTCCCCAATCGGCCCTGCTCTGAGCCCAACCAGGGGCTGCACCTAGAGATTGGGCCTGCCCTCTGCCACCCGGGAGCAGGCCTAAGCCAGCAGGTCGTTATCTCCCGAGGGGTCCCAGACTGCGAGAGGGCACAGGCCGGGCTGAGGAACCCCCCCTCCCCGCCAAGTGCACAAATTTTTGTGCACAGGGCCTCTAGTACAGGATAAAATGCATTCTCTAGAACAGTTCTTCTCAAACTATTTGTGACAAAGGACCACATTTTTGTTCCTTTTTTGTTGTTTATTTTCCCATAATTTGCAGTAGAACAGTACTTTCGTAAAATACAATAAAAGTGAATCATTAAAATAAATAATCACATCTTTGGATATCACAGCAACATTAAGTTACTATAAAGCTTTGCTACTAGACCACATAGAAACAGGTATATGAGCTGAGACCGGTATAACAAATTTAGAGTATGCATTTAGAAACCATTAGGACAAAATAAGTAAATGAACAACCAAAAAAGAAACAAAAATGTGGTCCTTTGTCACAAATGGTTTGAGAAGCACTAGAGAATGCACTTTATCCTGTATAAATTTTCTTCAACTATATAACCAAAGTAGTAAAACTAACTCAGATCTCTGAATAATGAGAAAATAATCTAAAGTCACATAAATATACTTATCTAAGACTTAGTTTATTTGTTAGGCATTGTGATGAAAAGTAGTTGTCCACCAAAATCCATTCTCTTCTTACATAGTAAGAGAACTGTGGCAAGGCCCTTGACTGCCTAGCTATACCACATTCCTCAGCTGTTCTCCATGGTGATGACGGAGTTCTTGCCAATAATATGTGTATGGACACACTGTATG